AAAATTACGATAATAAAATCATGTTATATAATGTGAAAATTACACCCATAGGCCTACTCCTCCAAAAAAAAAAAAAGTCTGTGGCATCCGTCATTCTTTTGACTTTTTAAAAAAAAACTGATTGATCGATTCATGAGACATTCGTTTGTATTAAGTTGTTCTGATTTTTTTCAACATGCATTCAAATATTCATGTTTATTTCGTGCTGCAAATATTAAAGAAAAGAAAATATAATTGATTCATATGCAGCTTGAACTGAGGCGAATTATCTCACTACAAATTAAAAAGAGCGTAAAAAGACGTTTGTTGTTTGCATTTTATCATAAAATTGACAGAAGACTGAGACTTAGTATCAAAGCACAAAGCTGCGATTATTGGGTTGCATGCATGCTACAAATAATGAATGGACTTGAAAACTTTAAACAACATTTGTTTAATGGGGGGGGTGACTCGCTACGCCACTGAATAAGACTGATGTACCCGCGTTGTAACACAAATAAATGTAAGGTTTCCCCTTACTTTAAATGCATGCTTATGGCTCATTATTATTATTGATAAAATAAAATAAAAACATTAAACTTTGAACTTTTATTAACAAAATAAATATGGATATGTTTTACTCGCATTTAACACAAATAAATAGCCTATGGATTTCCCCTTAAGCTACCTTAAAACGATCGTAGTTTGTGGTTTATTATCTTATTAATTAAAACACATCAGCCATAAAATAGTACAATGGCAAATTCGCATATATTAAACATCTACCTTGCATTGACAAAATGAATAAGATGGATAAAGCCATTGTAACCCAAATAAATCAGGTATTTTCCCTTATTTAAAACGAATGCTTAGTTTGTGGTTCATTGTTATTTTTTTTATGAAAACCTAGCAACAAAGACACTCACTTATAAGCTATTAAACGAATAAATGAAAGTTTTATTAACAAAAGTTGCGCTTCAACCCTCCCAACTCAAAATAAGTTCCCGCGGCTATGCCTGCTTTAAAGGTGCCATAGAATGCAAAAATCACTTTTATAAGGTGTTTGAACACAGTTGTGTGGCCGCAGTGTGTGAAAACAACCAGCCTATAATGGTAAAAATCCACCCACTCATTGTTTTATAATCCCAATAAATCATAAACAGCCTCTCCACACTAGCAGTTCCAGATTTCTCACTACTATGACGTCATACTCGGGGAAAGTCCCGCCCATTTGTGATGCTCTCTGCCCTATTAGCATATACACAGCCCTGAGTGAGAAGCAGCGGTCCGCCATTACTGTTTTCTTGCTGTAGCTGCAGGAGATACAATGTCAGCACCAAAGAGCCATTAAAAGTGTCGTGCGTTGGGATCCACCAACGGACATAGGAGTCTCCATAGACTGCTGAGGACACGGTGGTTAAATTTCATTTTCAAAGGAAATGTTCCGGAAAAAAAACAGAAAAGTCCTATACGTTTGTGCTAACTTTTTACGCCAGACTGCCTCACAAATGACGGTCAGTTCAGTGTTGGAGTTGTGCAAAGATTGCTTCTGAAAGAGGGATCGATACCAACGCTTGGTGCGCAACGTCCAGACTCCAGACAAAGTAAGCATCACGCTTCATATTTTGTTTTCCAAAAGAGCTTCTTGGCTCTCTGTAAGGCTAATGTTGCTAAAGCTACCATTGTCTCTGCCTGTTTTCACTAATGCTGCCTTCACGTGCTACCAGAATGATCGTAAATAGGAATGTGGTAGTTAAAAATTGCATTTGGAAGCAATGTAAGGTCAGTAACACGGTCACCACCAGTTAAACTGTAACACCGGTATGCCCGCGAGCATGAGCTCTTGAAGCTCCGCACTCTTCTGAAAAGGGAGGTGGGAGCACCAGCTCATTTTCATTTAAAGGGGACAAACACAAAAACAGCGCATTTTGGCTCATACCCTGAAAGTGGCAATTTCAACAAGCTATAAAAAATTATCGGTGGGGTATTTTGAGATAAAACTTCACATACACACTCTGGGGACATCAGAGAACAATTAAAAAAAATCTCTTTCTTATTTACCCCTTAAAAAACAACTGTTTATAATAAATGTT